ATAATGAACAGGGCACAGCTGTGCCCCTGCTTTCGAAAGAAAGAATTCTAAGCAGAAGACGCCCCCTTCTATCCAGTCCGCCCACACCCACACACTTGCACGTGTGTATTCCGAAAGGAACACTGCAGCAACTAAGCTGGCTGTAAAGCAGACACGCTCCTGGTGGGATGAGCCCCGCACACCCCCAGACACTCCACACTGAGGCTTTAGAATCACACAGCAGAGAAGCCGGCTGTGCTGAGAAGGAAGATCATTCCGTCTGCTCCAAAAGGTGTCAGGCTGCATTACCTGGGAACAACTGTTCTTGCTGCCACATTGGAGCAGCAACCCTGCAGCTTGGGAAACTTACAACAATTTCAGTGACATGGAGTTCCTGAGAGCAGGGACCGGAAATGCCCTCTGCAGGGTGCTCCCCTCCCTAAAGGGACCTCTCAACTACCAGAAACCAGGTATATAGCAGCTCAGCTGAAGATCACAGGGATCAAGTGACGAGGGCCAAGCACCTGAGCTCTCAGTGGAGAAATGGAATTAAAGTCTAGGCCAAGTGGGAGGCAAGACTAGACAGAGGCAGCAGAGGACAGGATCAGACCTTCGTGGGCACTGGGTGCTGAGGATGGGTGGCCAGTCTGCCCACCAATATTATAAACTCAAATACTTCTAATCATATTAACCAGAACTGTATTTAAAAAATGCCAATCTAGGTCCAGAGGCCAGAGAGAGAGAGAGAGACCAGGGTTTGGAGCTCTTGCAGTAAACGTGGCTGATCCTAGATCGATCCCCTCACTGTGTATAGTCTCCCAAAGCTCTTAAAGAAACTGACCATGAGCACAAATAAGCAAACAAAATGCAGGCCCAGTTAACTCCAAAAGCTTTAACACTTCCAGAGCGTCACATAGTAGCAATAAGAGAAAAGAGAAACTAGAGTTTCACTTTAAAAATCTAACTCTTCTTCAAAGAGAACCCGATGAATATTTAGCTCTGAAGTTGCGCTTTTTTCCTTTATTGTCATTTCTTTTTCCTTTTGGTTCTTGAGTCACACCCGGCAGTGCTGAATCTTGACTCCAGGCTCTGTGCTCAGGGCTGGCTCCTGGCTCTGTGCTCAGGGATCAGTCCTGGCTCTGTGCTCAGGGCTCACTCTTGGGCTCAGTGCTGACTCCTGACTCTGTGCTCTGGGATCACTCCTGATGGGGCTGGGGACAGAACCCAAGACAGCTGCATACAAGACTGCACAACCTCTTAGGCCTGCCATTGAAATTTCTCCCTAAGAAGCCCTTGAGAGGAACCCAGTGAGGTGTTAGGCGCAGTCTACTTCCCTCAAGGACAGGCAGCCTGCTTCAGGAGACTGACTGAATCAGCTCACTGCACAGCCACACCATGCAGAGCGCCTTCCGCATTTTTGCAAGTAGCCTCTAGGTGGCGCACCAAGCACGCGATTGCCTTCACTGAGGCTCGGCTAGTGGAGCAGCCTGAATGAATATTCAAGAGTGAAATTCTCTGCTCTTTCAAGTTCTCAGATCATGCTCTGCTTTTGAAATCACTATCTTCCCAATCGATACCTCAATCCCCCAGTGCAAGATGGTCCTGGAGAAGCTCCAGGGGAGGACTAAAAGGAAAAACTGGGGGAAAAAAAGGCAGAACAGACATGCTCTCTTAATTGTTCTCTGTTCAAGGTATCTGCTTTCTAAAGTAACTTTTCGAGTCCTTATTGAAGGAGTCTCGTAAGACCTGATGCCTTTAAGAGCACATTAAATCAAGTTTCACTCTAAGGAAGCAGGTTCTTCATACAACACTCATGGAGCAAACCATCCAGCAGGCAGGAGAACTGAGCACTCTATCTCAGTCCTTAGCTGAGGGCTGTTAACAGACATGGCACTCCACTGAGCAAACCATTCAGGTACTGTCCTGGTGACTTCACACGAGGCTCGGATCTGAAGAGAAAGGGTCCCTGTGCCTTGAAGCCGCTCTGAACAAACCAGGGTCTGCCACAACCCAAGGCCCCCCAATTCCCCATTTCCATTCCCCATGCCTCAGCACGCACAGGAAGGGGGATGGCGGTCTGGTGCGGTGCATTCCGAGAGCCACACACCCAAAATAAAAGCATCAGGACCTGGCAGAGGGGGAGACAGTGGGGCACGGGAAAAGACCTACATCTGCGTCTATCTATCGAGCTCAGATGCACCTAAACCAGGTATTCACGGAACAGGCCAACGGTGCTGCTGGGGGGAAATCTGCACACAGCCCTTCCACCACACGGCAAATCAACAAGAACACTGTGGACAGCATAGGCTGAGGTCCCCCAGGGGGAGAGGTCTGGTGCTGCTAAGAAGCTTTCCAAGCAATGCAGACAAACCTTACTCAGCAAATGAAAGAAACAAACGTAAACACCTGGGGAAATTGGAAGTTTCCACAGAACACAGGCTCCATCCACGTTCCCGCGGCCTTGGCCAGGTCAGCCCACGCGGGTGGGTGACAGCACAGAAGCACCAGTGTACAGCAGGGATGCAGGATCCCTGGCCGACTCATCAGTCATGGAACTTTTTTAAGAAAAACATTCTTTCATACCTCTATTGCAGGCTGGAGCAATAGCACAGCGGGTAGGGCATTTGCCTTGCACACCGCCCATGCTGCGGATCTGAGTTCGATTCCTCCGCCCCTTTCGGAGAGCCCGGCAAGCTACCAAGAGTATCTTGCCCGCACAGCAAAGGCTGGCAAGCTACTCGTGATGCCAAACACAGTAACAATAGGTCTCACGATGGAGACGTTACTGGGCCCACTCGAGCAAATCGATGAACAATGGGAGGACAATGCTACATACCTCTATTGCAAACTACAAAACCCTGAAGGAGTGAGCAAAAAGGAACGCCCTGCCAGAGGTGGGGTGGGGTGGGGGGAGGGGGACGTGAGGGATAGGGGGTGAGGGTGGGAGGGCTACTGGGATCACTGGTGGTGGAGAATGGACACTGGTGGAGGGATGGGTACTCGATCATTGATCACTGTATAACTGAAACCCAAGCACAAAAGGTACAACTGTACCTCATGCTGTTTCACTAATAAAAAAAAAAAAAGAAGAAGAAAGAAAGAAAAAATTCTTTCACAGGATTTAACTGCTAAAGGATTCCACTAGGGGTCAGAAAGACAGTGCAGCAGGGATGGAGCCTGCCCTGCACGCGGCACCATGGCTACATTCCCCACATGCAGACCCAGAGCTCATCAGGGCTCATCCCTGAGCACAGAGCCAGGAATAAGCCTTGCACATCAATGCGTGTGGGCTCAAAACAAAGATTCCATCACAAGATCCAGGATAAAATTAAGGGTATGATAGTATTAAAATGCCTAATCCCTCCCTAAAGAAAGTGTCAACACAAAACACAATGTCAAGTATTCTTATTTTGCATTTTAAAATCCTTGAGGTTTTCTGCAATTTTCAGGCTGACTGCTGCCCAGGGATCACTCCTGGCAGTGCCCAAGGGATGGTAGAGGTGCCAGGAATCGAACCCAGATCAGCAACATTGCACGGCGATCACAAACTGCTGGACTAGCTCTCCAGCCTCTAGAGTGCTGCTTTTTTTTGTTTTTTTTTATAAATTATCCCTGCGATTCAGTGGAAAATAATCAATGCTTGTAGAAAGCAGTGTGGTACTATCAAAGCATTAAAATGTATTTCAGGGGAAGGCCCCACCACAAGTGTACGCTATAATGTGACCCTGGGTGGGGAGGCAAAGAGGTTCATTACAGACTCAGGCAGAACTTCAAGACATTGGCACATCCTCAAGGGTTGGCCTGAGCTGTGCTGCTGGGAATGACGAAATGCTCCTCAGTATCGAACAAGATACAATGACTGATGCAGAAACACTTTCAAGGGCGATTCCAATGAGAGACAAGGTAGTCCCAGGAATAGGTACCGCAAGATGCTAGCCTTTGTAAAGAGTAGTGCTGGCGTACAATGTGCAAAGAAAGATCCTATCGATTATAAATTATGCCTGTTGATTTCACGAGGTGGGGCCCACTGGGTGACACTCAGACAGTCCTGGTTTGGCTGAAGGGACAAAGGATGCAAAGCTCTGTAGCTTTGTAGCTTTGTAGCTCTGCTGTGTAGCCAGAGGTCCTGGGCCCCCTCCTCTGCACCCTAGCTGTGCCCGGGGGCACCATGAGATGCTGGGAATGAAACCTGGGTCAGGAGGTGCTGCTGGCCACCACTGTAATCTCTCAGGCCAAGATCTTTTAACCATTGAAGCAAAAAACATGGCTGCTATAAACGATGGAGGTTATGTAGAAACCCAGTGGGAGAAAGGGCAGAGGAAGAGGAAGCATGCCCAGTCCTCAGCACCCCCATGGGGAGTCCGGAGCCCCGCTTGGGAAGGCCCACAGGGAAAACAACAACGAAAAACCCAGTTCACCCCTGCAGCATTTGCTTTCACTTAAGCCCAAGGTCACAGAGAAACCCAAGGCAATGAAGGCAAGACCAGAGCTCAAAGAGGACCAAGAGCAACAAAGTCTGTCCAAGACAAGCTGTGTTCCCCTCGCTGAACTCAAACGCAGATCCAGAGGCATCTCGTCAGCATTCACAGCCAGACAGAACTTCCAGGAAACCGTCCATTGGCTCAGCCCATCTGATTAACACGAAGACTCTCCATTGAATGCTGATAGGAAATCGATATATCTGAGCAGATGAATCACTACCCCCTTAATAAGATCCATCCCCTCGCTCTCACTGCCAGTGACTTCACACAGGGCTTGGCGCACACTGTGAAGTACATTTAATGAAGTCTCGAGGTGCTCCGGGCTAACTGCTCTGGGTTACACTTAATCAGAGCCGGATAAACAAACACGGCATTAGTCACCCTGTGTGCAAGTTCTTCCATTTCACTGCAGCCAGAAAAGGGCTTTGCATGGGATCCTGTTTAAACGAGCTACACATTTGGAAACTGTGGAAACGATTTCTCAAGGAGCACGAGGACCACACGCTGGCGAGCGCCGCTGCTCGGGGCCAGGTTACTCACAATGAAGCCGAGCTTCTTATAGTCCCGTGTGTACATGGACTTGCGCTTCTCCACACTGCCGCTGCTGTTGCTGGGCTCGCACTCGGCATCGAACGCGATTCTCCGAAGCTCGAATATGATGTCCCTCTGGGCCTGCAGGGGGGTGAGGGAGAAGCAGCGGGCGGTCATATGACAGGCACGCTGTCTCCAGAGACAGAGCAGACAGAGAGAAGCCCAGCTGCCCTCCCGCTACCACGGTGCCACGCTGTGTGATGGCCAGCCACCATCTATGGGAATCACATGCGTGCAGGGCTGCCCTGATGGACTCCAAGACACTCAGGTTCCAGGACCCTATGAGAGACAGGGTCCCTACGCTGCCCTGAGAAGTGCCCTCAGAGGGGAAACGCCTTCATTTTGGTCCGAATGGCCGGTTTCATTGACTTGAGCACTAAAGCGAGCAGGCAGGCCGTGACACTCTCGGCCAGGACCGCCTATCACTTGGCGGCCAGACGCTGGGCTCACGGCCAGGGGATCAAGACCAGGAACAGCCCATTCCAAGCCGCTCAGGCCTCGCTATCAGTCTTATCACCTGGCATCTCCACACACACCATGTGCCACATCATATCTGCTGGACATCAGGCCCTTGCAGCACTCAGGAGTGTTTCACCTTTGCAAAGTCAGTGCTGCTGAACTTAATGTGGGCTGCGTCTGGCTCTCAGCTCCCCAACCCGTTCCTCACACTGTCACGTTCACGAAAGCCTTCGGGACAGACAGAGCCTTCGAGGCAAGAGGTGGTGACATGCCCACTGATAAAGACGAAGCTCTGGCATGTCCGGCCGTCTCCCTGGCACTGACCCCTGCAGGAGGAGGTGACCCTCCCCGCCTGCAGTCAGTCCCACCATTTCTCAGCACCACCCACCTCGTCGGGAAACCTGAAAGCAGGGGGTGCAAAGGGCACTGTCTGTGGCCACAAAACATCAAACTCCTTTAAGGAACAAGAGTGGACTATGCATATGTTTGATACCTACTTAAAACACATCCCTCAGTTTCATTCTCTAGATCAATGTAACATTGAACTATATGTCCCAAATTCTGAGACAGTAATATAACCGTCAAAATGTTAATGCCTCTGAAAAGTGGCTAACTACTGCCATCAAAATGACATCTAAATAATACCATCCTCTGAAATCTCCAGGTTCAGGAGTGGCTGAAGAAATAGGTTTTTGCCTTTTCCTGAAATATAATTTGATTGGTTTATCAGTGCTGACATACCAGAAACTTCTGGAGAACAACCTCCTCCTGAGACATGAGTCTCGGCTTGGCGGCATGACAGGTGCCTGCCTCCAGTGCTCTTCACAGGGGCAGACGCCCCTCCCCCCACACTAGCCAGCCACACTCACCTGGTCCTGTGGGTCCATCTTGGTCATCATCCGGTCCTCCAGGAGGTTGAAGGTGAGGACCTGCAGCACGTAGAGCTGGTGTGCCATCTCATTGTTGATGGCCCGCTGGGCCCGAATGACATGCTGAGGACAGAATCCACCAAGAAATTTCGTTTTTAATATACAGTTTAGTATATATGGAAAAAGAGCAAGCCAAACAGCAAAAGCGAACCTCTCCCATTACATCATCAGGTCAGTGATAACCTCCACAGTGGCCACGTGGAAGCACAGAGAGGACAAGTTGGGGACCAGCAGGGCATGGCGGTGCTTAGGTTTCCGTCAAATTCTACGAGTCAGAAGACTTCCGGCCAGGAACCAGGAGTGACCTCCTGGGTTTAGGGAGGACCGAGAGAGAGAAAGGAGAGGAGACAAGTCCTGAGTGCAGACACGCACCTCCAGAGGAGAGACAGGAGAACAGCCTGGGCAAGGAGGGGAGCAACTCTGAGCCTCTCTGCAGGGCTGCCCCTGGCCAGAGCCTGACACAGGGATGTGCAAACACTTCAGAAGCTACACAGGAAAGCAGAGCACTCTTGGTTTTGTAGTTAATCCACCATTGTGACAAGGAGGAGTGATTTCAGGCGACAATGAGAGGAAAAACAGAACAGCCCTACTTCAAAGCCGCAGAATCAAAATGGAACAAATGGAACAGCAGTGGCCAAAGATGGCCTCAGCACCACCAAGGTGGAGTCTGAAACGAGATTTAGCACGTGGGCCTAACAGGTGTCTTCTCTGGCAAAGAACACGGCTGGGTTTTAAAATTCCAATCATTTGGTGGATATGGCAAAGCTGCCTTTCACATTGTATGTATATCTCCAATGGGCCACACCCGCCCAGCTCCTGAAATCTTAGGAAAATCCTCCAGGAGCCCCTAACCTGGCCGTGAGCTCCAATGGAGGGGAAGCAGCTAGAAAAAGCCCCCTCATAGGACACCGAGCCTCATCTCACGAGGAGACCATCCTTGCTAAGATGGCCAGCGGTGCCCAGAGGCTCTGGAGGCCCTCTGCTGCCTCCGCACCCCACAGTGCCTGCACAGCTCAGCAGCGTACCCCCACAGGCACGCCGGGCCTTGGCCGCCAGAGTCCAAGAGCTAGACACACTCCTCTCTTCCTGGGACAGGGCAAACTCAGACTCAAGCTTCATCATCTCCACACAACTGGCCCAGAACATTTCATGGCTGAGCCAAAGTGCTATATGCATCTCACGTCCTTTTTATGTGACTGGCCTAAAATATTGTAAGTACAATTTACTTTTCCCCTAAAATTGGATACAGGTTTGCTGCTTGCCGCTCCCAGGACTAACTAACTTAGAAGTTGCCCACCTAGCGCTCTCTCTCTCTCTCTCTCTCTCTGTTTCTTTCTCACTCATTCTCTCTCTGTCTGTCTCTCTCTGTCTCTGTCTCTCTCTTGTTATCTCTCTCTCTGTCTGTGTGTGTGTGTGTCAGTCTGTCTGTCTCTGGAGACCAACACTGTGTCACTGGCCAGTGGGCTCTCTCAATAAACTGACTTTGCGCTACCTAAACAATCTCACTCCTGGTAAATTCTCTGATGATGGCAACCCTCAGACTCAGAGGTCTGGGTTCAAGCACCAACTCCTAACCCTTCATACAGTGCCAGTTAGAGAAGACAGGGTAGGGAGGAAAATGAGAAACGGAAGCAATTGATGAGATGGCTTTAGGCTTTGGAGCTTTGGTTCTGTTTGCTATTGTAAGAATTTTAATATTCAATGACCTCATTGTACTGGCACGTGTGTCTGTGACAGAAAGAGAAGGGGGAGGGATGGAGAAAGAATAAGAGGGTGAAAAAGAGAAAAGGAGAGAAGAGTAGAGAGATCTGGTTTTGATAGCAGGGAGTTCAACTACACACACCTCTTCCAGCCTGGGTTACAAGTCAGGTGGCAAACAAGGACCCGGGTATCTCACCTTTGATCTCACTCATGCTGGTGGATTTGTAAGTCAAATGAAAGCTAACATTGCAGGTATGTCTTACATCGCCCCACTGAGAGACTGTGGTTCCTTGTTTTTTCTCCCGAGAGCTTTCCGATTTTCTGGAGACCCTTCCCTTCAGCCAAACACAGGGAAGACTTGCTTATTTGTACTCTAAAAAACTACCGTTTAATTTGTTCTCCTGCCTAGAGCTTTGCCCCTGGAACGATGTACACAGCACACCACAAATAAGGTACAGAGGACAGAAGAAAACCAGTGTCACCCGGCCTCAGCACAGACACTCACCGTTAAGATGATGGAGCGCAGCTGCTTCTGAGCCAAAATATTCGCCATCTCCTGTTGGAGAAAAACAAGTCCACACAAAGGTTCCGGTTAGAAAGATTCATTTCAGCGTGGCACAGACGGACTCAGCCGTGGAGTGTGCATCCTAGCTGGATATCAGCAGTATTTCTCATGACACAACGAACTCACACAGCTGGTCACGTTCCAATTATTTTTTTAATATTACAAAGCCAAGGAAGAAAATATTGGCACCTACAATCTTCTTCCTTTTTTGGTTTTTGTGTGTGTGTTCCAGGAATTTCCCCTTTCTAGGAGAAGATGGAGGCTGATGGAGCGGGGGCTTCACTGGCAGGGTCCGTCAGAAGCAGAGGGCTTCACAGGGCACAGACATGCAGCAGCAAAACCCCAATACTAGAGACCATTGCTTTAAAGATCTGTCTTCTAATTTCTAAGCTCATCTGTGCAAAACCAAAGAACAAGTTGCAAACACCCCAGGCCTTGAGCACGGACTCTGAAAGTGAACTCCAGGGCTTCTGAGTGAAGGGAGGTATGGGGGTAGTGCCACCTCTGGGCCCACACTCAGCGGTTTTACGCCACATCCGTGCCAGGGACGCTGAGTGCCTTGGCTTCCCTGGCTGGTTTGGAGGCTTTGCATGTGATTATATTTAATGCGATGCTTTATAGATGGCTTCTCTAGACATTGGCAAACAGACAATAAGGTTGAAAACGAGGACAATATGATGCAAATGTTTAGAAGCAAAAATACTGCTCATATTCAGGATAACTGCTTTTTGATGGGGAGGTAGAGGGAGTAATTTGCTACTTGGTTGAGTAGAGAAATAACTATACTAGTATACCAAAACACGACCATGAATGCAACCCAGGATGAAATAAAGCAGCAGAGAGTGAGGAGAATCAGGAGCATGTGGAGGAAGCATGAGACAGGAAGACAGGGGACATGAAGTAAGAGACACACAGGCAGGGCTGGGCAGGAGCAGATGGACATGGGGACTTACAGTCAGAGGACACTCAAGGATGTCCACACTGCTCTCCACACCAGCCTAGGGTCAGGTGTGATCGCCACCACAGAAGGGAGAGAAAGCAGGAGAGAAGAAGGGGTGAAATTCAAAGGATGCTGTTAGAGGTCACAGCTTTATGGCAACACTCCCGCTGGCCCACTGCACTGAAGAGAGGAGCATGTAAATACGGGAAGGTGATTCCAAAATTCTAGCTGTGCCAGGAGGTTGTCGACAGGAAACCAATTAAAGGTATTGTAAATCATGATGTGTCAGTATAACATTAAAGCCAGAAGATAATAAGGACCCCTCATCCAACCTCAGTCACTGGTCAGGGAAAAGGAACTTGCTTTTGCACAGTGCACAGGGCTAGAATTTTCCTTTTGGTGGATAGAAATAGAAACTTTTCCATGGGTCATACAAAAAAGCAAAAGGCCAAAAAGTGTCTACAGCTCTTTTAAATCTCTTTTCTTTTATAAAATGAAATGTCTGCCTACTTAGCATCCAAAAAAAAGTCCTCTTTTATGTCTATTTTATAGACACAATTCATAAAAGTTTAAAATAACTTAGAAGGAATGATACATTTCTGACATTACTAGAGCAATTATTATAATTGTCTGATACAATATTGATCTTTTCCTTAATACTATGGGTAGGGCAAAGACACGGAAAATCATTTCATATTTGAGTTTCAAGCCCAGATAAAATGTCTGGCACAGGTATATAATAAATATTTGATTAAAGAATGAATTAACATATTCTGCTATATCCCTAATAAACATGAGCTTGCTCAGAGAAGGGATACTGGAAGATCCCTGTCCACATCATGAATTATTTTTAATCCAATATTAAGTTATTGTTTGAGTAAACTTGAGAATCCATGGAGAATACTTTATACCATTAAGATAATAGAAACAGAGATGCAGATATATTGGCATGGAATGGCGTTCACAACATCTTCTTGTAAAAGAAGCTTTAATAATGCATGTACTGTGACAGCATCTGATGAAAATGGTGTCCATAGGAGTTGGCACGTTCCAGGCGAGGGGTGCAGTCTCAGTTATGAGCTATTGTCTCTGGGAATGCAACTGGGGAGTTCTTATGTTTTCTTCCTTTAGAAACTGGATTGTCTTGTTTTTCCACACAATGTTTTAACAAAATTATTTTAAAATAATGCTTATCAAAAATCATACGAATCTGTAGATCAATCTGGACGAGATCTCATCAATATGTTGGTCATGAACATAATGAAGTCAGTAATGGCATGACTTGGTCAGAAAAAAGATTTGTTTGCTCATCAAATGTCAACCCCATCTCCCACAGAACAAGAACCATTGATGTGCTCAGAGGATGGGTGAGAGCCCGTATCAAGAGTCCTGGGTAAGCCAGACCCCCTTTCCGCAGGGAAGCCAGCCTGTGGGCAACACCCCAAGACACCCAGTTTTCTCTCTGGAGGCTAGCTCAATTAATACAAAACAAAAACTAGTGTTGGGACAGTCTGCTTAGTAACTAAAAATATGATCTGGTGGAATTTTTCTCCATAAATAAAATGTAAGTGTTTAGAACAACCCTTCTAAATCTACTTTATATATTTTGAAATGAAGTACCCCCGCCCCCAAAATGGAGGACTAAGAATGTGTGTGGCTTTAAATTGGAAAAAGAAATTAGAGTAAATATAAAATGTTTCCATGAATTTGGAATTGATCTGATGATGAGAGGCCTGAATTAAGGGATATTTCTGTACAGCCCCTGAGTGAATGCTAAAATTCCTCTGGGTCTAACTGGGGGGAAGAAGGCAGACATGAGTCTTTCCCACTTTAGATGTTCTTTGAGTACTGGAGAGTGGAGGCACTCCTGTGACATGCTCACTAGGACACTCTGCAGGTGGGGATACTAGGAGCAATCTGGTCAAACCTTTACCTGCCTGACTTTCAATTTCCTTATTTGCAAAAATCAAAATAAAATGGTTTTCTACTGATAAGAGAATCAAAGAAGACATAAAACACCAAGACTGGCACAAAGCGCAAAGACTCTAAATAATATATTTTTTGGTGAAAAGCTCTGGCAAAATTTCTACTTCACAAACAATACTCAAAACCTTCTACATTTTACAACATAAATCACTACCAATATGTCACAGGAAACCAACCCTATGTTGCCCCTGGGGGCATTGCCAGCCTCTAGTGACCTCTGGAAATGACATCACAGTTTTCTTTATCATGCACTTAAAACCATTTCAAGACCCCTCTCAACTTATTGGAGATGTTTATAAAATTAAAACACAAACTATTTTATTTCTGAGGGGGAAAATTCAGGAAAATTTTCAAGAAGAGTATTTGTTCTATTCTTAATAAATGAAGGCACTGATTCTTCTAGAGTTCAACATTTTGGAAAGTCCAAGCTGATCTTCTATAGACAATTAAGTAAAGTACCTTCTCACTATATTTCAAAGACAAATTCAGTCACCAATTACCCTCTCTGCCTTCTCCACAATTATATTTATCTGTATCAGCCCGACAGTTTTCTCCAATGGTGAGAGCAACGAATGCCCAAACTCGGTCCTGCCAGTCTCACGCGGTCTAATCTAAAAACAGAGAGCTTCAGATCCCCAAAACTTGAACCTAATGTCCTACTGGCAGTCCAATATATTTTCATTAGTGATCGCTGTACTGGATAAAGTGCTCCCTGGCATCCACATCCCGATTCCCCAAGGTCGTCTGAGGCCAGTTCAGCAGCAGTAGTGTACAAGCAGTGAGGCTGACTTCGAGCACAACCCAGGGAGCTTCCACGTCCCTGGTTCCAAGCATCGCAGGGCGAGGGAAAGGCCTGACCACAGCACACAGTGCAGGCTCCTCGAACTCCAGTTCCACCTTCAGGGAAGGGGCGAGTCCTCGAAGGGCCCTGTGGGGCATGTGTGCTGGAGGACTGGGAGCTCCGGGTCTGCAGGAGTTGGCAGCTCAGCACCCATGCGGGGGGGCAGCCCGAGCCACCGTCCCAGCTGCAGCCTCAGAGAGGCATTGGAGGAGGCAGCACTTGCTGTGCCATGGGTACAGCCATTGCCTGTCCCAACCCACACACAAACACGGGGCCTGAGCACCGAGCCAGAAACTGCCACTAAGTGCTTCTGGGAGCCCCAGGCACCAAAGAATGCGACCAAAATAAAACCCCACAGAGCTCAGAGCACAGGCTCGGGGAGCACGTAGGGTGCCTCCCACTCTAGCAAACAGTACAGGTGCACAGGATGACAGGGCAGTGATCAGGCATTGCTGCGTGACACCCCAAATGTCTCCTGGAAAGTCGCCAAGACCTGAGAGCCCCACTGAGGAAGCACAGGAATGAGTCCAGTTCGTGACAGAGTCCAGTCCATGCCACGAGTTGGCTCTCTACATCCTCACAGCAACCAGTGGCCGCCATGCTTCTACGTTCCTGAGAACAGTTGGAATGACCAGAGGAACCCGTATTTCTAGCCATTCCCTCCTTCCCCCTTCCCGCCTTCCTTCCCTCTCACCCTCCCTCCCTCCCTTCCCTCCATTCAGTGTTTAGGGTCAAAGCTAGCAGTGTTCAGGACTTACTCCAAGTTCTGTGCTCAGGGATCACTCCTGGAGAACCTGAGGGACCATGTATGGTGCCAGGTACTGACCCAGGTGCCTCACCACCTGTCCTATCTCTCTGGCCTGGGTAGGTTTGTTTTCTGGGCTGCTCTCCCTTGAGCTCAGGAACACTCCTTGCTCAGCACTTGGTGATCACTCCCAGCAGTTTCCAGGTACCAAGTGTTGGGAGGGCTCAAACCCTGGGCTCCAGCATGCAGAGCCCATCATAAGTCCTTCGAGTCAGCACCCAAGCTCTCTAAGCAGTTCTCTGCTCTTGTTGACATAGAAGAGAGGAAACGGATGCTCAAGCTTCCACCAGATCAGCAACAGAAGAATATAGTCAAGCCAAGTGCCCCTCTGGCCTACGCGGCATGGCTCCTACTCCCCTTCCCCTTCTGTGTCCACTCCCACATCTCCCCCGGGAACACCCTTTCCTGCAGGCTGACAGTGCAGGATAAAGGAGAGGCCAGAGTGTTTCTCTGAATGCCTCCCAAGGTTTCGGCCCCTTTTACTGAGCCCTGCAGTAAAGACCCTGAGGCTGGGACACCCCCCACCTCGTCCTGCCAGATCCATCTGGGGTTGCTGCCCTGGGCAGTCTCAAGGCCACAGACGTACTGACCTGCCTCCTCTCGTCTGGGGCTTTGAGAAAGAGCGCGTTGATCACGGCGATGGTGTAGGTCTGGATCTCCTGGTCTGTCCTGCAATGCAGAGCAGCAGAGATCAGGAGAGTTGAGTCCCCAAGTCCCCTGGCGCTTCCCGCCATCTCCCCCACAAAAAGGGGCCGAGCAAGGGAACAGCCAACGGCCAAAGGCATCAGAACTGGACATTCTTGTACAAGGAAAAAACCTCCAACCGCATCAAAAAATGTGGAGAAGAAATTAACAGCAGCTTCCTCAAAAAAGAAATACAAATGACCATAAGGCACATGAAAAAATGCTCCACACAGCTAGTCATCAGGGAGGTGAGAATCAAAACAACAATGAGATATCATCTCACATCACAGAGACTGGCACACATTCACAGAGACTGGCACACATTCAAAAGAACAAAAGCAACCAGTGCTGGCATGGATGTGGGGAAAAAGGGACGCTCTTGCACTTTAGGGGGAATGCCCACTGATGCAGCCTTTTTGGAAAACAATAGGAGCATTCCTACAAAAAATAGAAATTGAGCTTCCATATGATCCCGCAATACCACTTCAGGGAATATATCCCAAGGGTGCAAAAAAGTACAGTAGAAATGACATCTGCACCCATATGTGCATTGCAGCACTGTTCACAATAGCCAGAATCTGAAAACAACCAAAGTGCCCAAGAATAGACAACTGTTAAAGAAACTTCAGTAAATTTACAAATTGGAATACTATGCAGCTGCCAGGAGAGACTAAGTCATGAACTTTGCTTATAAGTGGATAGACATGGAGAGAATCATGCTAAGTGAAATGAGTCAGAAAGAGAGGGACAGACATAGAAGGACTGCACTCGTTTTGTGTACTATAAAATAACATAATATGAGACTGACACTCAAGAACAATAGACATAAGGGCCAGGAATATTGCCACATAGTTCGAAGCCTGCCTCATGAACTAGGGGAGGAGGCAGCTGGAATAGAGAAGAGATCACTAAGACAATGATGGTTGGAGGAATCGTTTGGGATGGGAGCTGTGTGCTGAAAGTAGATAAAGGACAAAACATGATAGCCTCTCAGTATCTGTATTGCAAACCATAGTGCCCCAAAGCAGAGAGAGTATGAGGGAAACTGTCTGCCACAGAGGCAGGGGGAGGGCTGAGAAAGGGAGGGGGGGTTATACTGGGGAGATTGGTGGTGGAAAATGTGCACTGGTGGAGGGATGGGTGTTTGATCACTGTATGACTGAAACTCAAACATGAAAGCTTTGTAACTGCATCTCACAGTGATTCAGTAATAAATAAATAAATAAAGAACTGGGCATTCTGAAGACAGAACTAAGCCTGGGGGTGAGGAGTTGGGAGAGAGCCTTGGCCCACTGGTGGAGGGAAATGGACTTTCTGCTGCAGGGACTGGGCTGGCATGAAAGCATCATGACCAGTGTATAAAATCACAGCACCCTCCATCAAGGCGGTAAAGAGGGAAAAGGAAGCAGAACTGGTAAATGATATTCATGCCACCCTATCAGTAACAGAACTGCAAACCACAGTGCACTAAAAGTAAAGTAAGAGAGAGAAAAAGAGAGGGAGAGAATAAAAGTACTTGCCATAGATGCAGGATTCGGGGGGCTGGGAGTGCGGGTGGGAAACAGGGGGTAGGAAATGTGCACTGTGAAGGGACGTGCTGGAGCACTGTAGGACTGAAGCCCACCTGTCAGGAGCAGCTCTGTAACTTGAGTCTCTTATGGAGATTCAAATAAAACATAACATTTTTTTTAAAGCAGCGGGCATCAATAACACAGCTGGCCCTGAGAGCACATCTCGGCCTTCACAGGCTGTACCAAGAAGAGGGGACAGCAGCTCTGTTGCCACTAGCGCTCACTGAGCAGAGGTGTGGGCTGCATCTCTAACGCCCTGTCCACTCAAGGTGCTGAGCAAGCATGGGTGAGGGGACGCACTATCTCCCAGTGCCAGCCCACCTGGGAGTGTCTTTAATCTCCCACCGTCCTGCTACCATCAAAGTGCCTGGCAGGGTGGTGTGCTCAAGGGCACGGGTCTCACATGCACAAGGCAGCGTCCAAGTACTCATCCGTGGGCTCCAACATGCAGGGCCGCAGCCAGCACTGAGTGGGAGCACAGAGCATGTAGGCTGTGAGTCTCCAGCCAGAGAGACAGCAGAAGGGGCCCTGGGGCCCAGTGCCTGCAGAGGTCCCCATCCAAAATGAAGGAACTGGTGGTTTCCAAACTGATGATGGTACATATTCCAAAACCGATTCCCAAATCCACATATTCTGCTCTGTGGAATTTTGGGGGCACACCTGGCAGAGCTTGGGGATTGCTCTCGGCTCTGTGCTCAGGAGGCCAGGAACTGTAGGAGACACCCCTTGAGTCTCCTCCTGCAAAGCATCTGTGCAACCCATTGAGCCACCTTGCCTGGCCCCTGGTAGGAAAGGAACAGGAAGGAAATCAGAAAATCCAAATGAGCAAAGAACGGATGCACGCTGCATGGTAAATAAGGATGGAAGGGACGAAGAGGCCTGCACGCTTCCTACAGGGAGGTGGGGGGAGGGGAGCCGAGGCCACAGGGCTTGGTGGGCCAAGCTTCCAGCAGGCTCATCACAGGCTGGCTCTGAGACTGTGGGGGTGGGGGGGAGGGGAGCTCCCAGGGGCCCCTCAGACACTGTTCCCACGTCTGTAGCAGCAGATAAGAACTCACTGCAAGAGGATGCTTTTAGCGTAAAATGAGCTAATGTACATAAAATCCTAAGCACAGCACTTAGCAATAATAAACTCTCCACTTTGGTGAAGAGCACCGTGAATATTCAAGTGCCCCCTTGAGAGTTGAAGAAAAGAAGAGAACAGCTCTGAGTTCTTTGACATTCGGGAAATATTGTTTCTAGCAGATTATTTCTAGGGAGGTTTCATGCACACCATTGTTTCAAGCATGTGCCAATTCTCCCTGAGGCTTCAATCATAGTTTAGGAACTCTAAAACTTCATCTTCTGTTAAAAGGAAGGCAAAAAAAAAGGACACATCTACTGTACTCTAGTAGCTTCTACTTAACTAAGAACAAAACAGGTCCTTGGAGCATGCAGACCCGTGTGCTGAGGGTCATGCCCAGGGGTGGTGTGGGGAGGGGAGCAAGCAGGGGCGGGAGCAAGCAGGGGCGTCACAGCTGGGGCCTTCCAGTAGGCCAGGCAAGATTCTAGCCCCAGGGCTTGCTCCCCCCACTCGAAGCCACTTATTAAGTTAACACATGAGCATTTTAGGTAAATCCAGAGCTACTGAGTCCCCTGGCTCCCTGTCCTGCACCTCAACCCAAATGATCCAGAGGCTCCTTGAGACTGTGCCCAGTAACCTGCGAAATGCGGTGATTAGTACATAGGCATCAACCAGTTCATATTAATACCATAAAACGAGCCCCGAGAGGCCTCCTCCAAGGCTCTGAGGAAGCCGCTATTCCTGTGCCTCCACGGCACAGTTGGTTCTGAAGAAACAGAAATGACTGAAGTAGTTTCTTGGTTCTATAAACCAGGATCAAGTCAGCTCGGAGGCTCTGCTGCCACCCAAGCCCCCAAACCCCTGTATTTCATTTCTAAAGTAGCACAGGGTACAGCATCTGGGTGTCAATCAGTGAAACCTCACTTCTTACTGCAGAGTGAAAGGAAGGGGTCTCAGGACTTCTCCTGGGCTTCAAACTGCTAGGCCTCATCTTCTAGCCTAAACCTCTGGAAAACATTCATGCCATACACTAAACTGCAAGTGCAGTTCATTGCAAACATCCCAAGCCTAGGGAAGAAGCTTGCACAAAATAAGTTAGGGGTCAGAGAAATGGCCCAAAGCAGATGCTTTGCATGCAGGAGGCCCAGGTTTGAGCCCCAATGCTACATAACCGCATGAGGACTGCAAGGAGTGACCCCCAAGCATCATCAGTTATGGTCCTACACAACAACAGAAGTTCATTATTAACCATGGAAACATTCATTCTACCACCAAAAGTACTAATTTAAACAATCATAGAAAGACTACTGAGAACTTGAGAGACAAATCGTCCCACCAAAACCAAACTCTACCAATATTAATCAAAGATGAGCTTCTACCAAGGGCCAGGCACTGGGGAAAGGGCAGTCAGGAATGGGAACGGAGCTCCTTCAGGGCTGAAGAATGCTGCACTCTGAGTGCCCAGGAGGGAGCAATGCAGCCCACATTCTCTGTTCTGTGTCCTTAGGGACGAGGGGTGAGACTTCTCCGGGGAGCGAGACAGGTTATCTCCTGCACGTTTCTCCTCACCCTACTTACCCCTGAAGGTGTGGGATGAGCTGGCCGATGGTGATCTCTTGGGCCACCTTCTGGTAGAGGTCATGGCTATTGAGCACCATTGACTCCAAAATGGCCAAGGACCGCTGCAGGATTGAGGTGTCAATGGCTGACTTGTTGACAAAGCTTGCAATCTGCAGATCCAAGGGGACACAAGTAAGTTTCCTGGTCAGTAAATCAGAGCAGCAAGCAAAATAGAGCAGAGAGTAAGTCATTTAAGGAACACCAGGCTCGAGAGGAAATCATACTTGACACTGCAGCAGAACAGGCAACACTATTTATATCCTATTGTACAATTCAGTTAGAAGCAATTAAAAAGAGTTGTCTTTGAGGCCAGGGAGGATGAGGCATCTTGCAGAGGCAACTGACTTCAACACATTTATTCTCAAGTTCTCCAGTGTAGCATTATTCAGTGTAGCAAGAATCTAGAAACAACCTGGGTGCCTGAAAACAGATGACTGGATAAAGAAATGATGATACATCTACACAATGGAATACTACACAGCCACCAAGAAAAATAAAGTCATGAAGTTTGTCAAAATGGATGGACATAAGTAATAAATGAATAGACATGGAGAGTATCATACTAAATGAAGTGAATCAGAAAGAGCGGGACAAAGAATGATCACACTCATTTGTGGGATATAAAAAAAAAACACAGTATGAGACTAATACCCAAGGACAGTAGAAATGAGGGCCAGGAGAACTGGTCCACACTTGGAAGCCTGACAAAAGTGGGGGGCAGGGCAGGCAGTTAGGAAAGAGAAGGGACCACTACGACAGTAATAGTTGGAAATGATAACTCTGGACAAGAACTGAGTGCTGAAAGTAGGAAAAGGGATATACAGGATAACCTTTCAGTATCTATACTGCAAACTACAATGCCCAAAAGGGGGGAGAGAGAAAGAGTGAGAGAGAAAGTAAGAGAGAAGAAAAGACAAGAAGACGAGTAGGAGAGGGGTGGCAGGGGCGAAACTAGGGATATGGGTGATGGGAAATGTACACTAGTGAAGGGACAGGTGTTGGAATGACTGAATTTCATGTATGACTAAAACGCAATCATGAACAACTTTGTAACTGTGTCTCTCACAGTGATTCAGCAGGGGGGGAATGGTTATAGCCAAAAACAGAGAGAGCGAAAGAGAGAAGAGAGGAGAAAGAGAGAGAGCGAGAGAGCGAGAGAGAGAGAGAGAGAGTTCAACATACACGATAGCCATTCCCTTCCCAGTCTATTCCTTCACCAGCGAGATCCTTATTCTCCCACTTTAGTGACTCACAAATCACACTTGTCAACACAATTCAACTGGCAACTTTTCACTTCTTGGATACTATACTCTTCTTTTCTCCTCAACGAAACACTCTTCTCCCATCCTTCCAATTTCATATGGTCCAAAGAAATTCTTCTTATCTCCCTCAACTTTAGCAAACAGGAAAACACTTAAATTAGCCAGGCTAAAGCCTGAAATAATAGTTTAAGTTCTCAATTATTTTCTCTATGGAATTAATCACCAAGACTTCAAACACAGTAAATCACCATGGAAGAGGAAAGCAACATAAGGGTGTGAATAATGGATAATAGTTACTCAAACACATGGGTACCATAAAGGCTTTATTTTAGAGGCCTCATTAAAAGTTATTACTGTCTGTTGACAATGCACACTAAAAGTCTGTTGTTATATCAGTATAAAGACTGCTGTTTCATAAACGAAACACTTTGGCTCCTGACAAATAGAACTTGCTGGTTCCCTATCAGCAATAATCTCTCCTTTTCTGCATCCCACAGATCCCTCCTCCACCCTCTTTTAAGCCAAGATGTAAAGAAACTCATGGATACTGGAAGTCATCATCTCATCTGTTTCTAGCCAATGGCTCCTTAGAGAATGTTAGTGTGTATGTGTGTGTGTATTTGTGTGTGTGTGCGTGCACCCATGCATGCATGAGTGTGAGTGTGTGTTTGTGTGTGTGTGTTTTGGTTGTAGGGGTGAGCATATCTGGGTCTCGAGTGGAAAAGAAATGGCATGAAGTAGTCAAACATTGTGACTCTGTATCCTCAAAGGCTACTGCTCTTTAATACAAATTACAAGAAGAGTGTGAGAATTTTAAGATTCTCAAAGGACCACTTTCTCTCCTTTCACGGTTAATAAACTTCTCCAATGTGTTTATTATCCTGGCAAGTGTCTGTTCTAAGTCTCACAATATATTCCACTCTGTTCAATGCCACCATGCTAAGGCCAACTTTGCCTCTCAAGAACCATCCTTCTCTAACAGAACAATGCAATTACCCTCATGCTGTGCTCAGGTTTAACCCTCCAATTCAGACTCCTTCTAAATACAATATAAAATTTCTGAAATTCTCCTACTTACATCTCCTTAACTGGTTTTCATTATCCCAGCATAGTTCTTGGCATGCATTAGGAAACTGAAGACCTCACAGAGAAGTCAGCTCCAGTATTTCCGATGTTCTCTGCACTAAGTCTTCTTCCAGACTCCTTGTTTCATGTGGCTTTTAGTAAGCTTGGAGAGATGGAAAATCTGCCACCCAGTTGTTTACTGCCCCACATCGTTCCCCACCCACAGCCTCCATGCCCTCTTCTCACTCAAGCAATAGTCACTGACTATGGGCCGTGAAATAGGCTTGCACTGGTCTAGGACCTGGAAATAGAAAGGCAAGCAAAAACCATGTGACTGAAACTTCAGGGACTCACAGCACCATGGAGACAGACAAAACTCATTTTCTACGACACGTGTTTCATCCAAATGGCTGTCTCCTATGAGACAATTTGCCTGAATAAGCCTCCTTTTCAATTGTCACCTTTCTCCAAATTCGCCATAACCATTACTGATCAATGCTGCCAGTAAACTACTTTCTAACCCTCTGATGCTGCTCCCGGCGCCTCTCCCAGGGGCGCTCATTCAGTTGGACACACACAGCACTGGCTCATTCCTGGGTAACAAGACAGCATGTTTGCTTTTTTCCATGCTTCTGTCTCTGCGAAGATTTTCTCCCATGACAATTCCCCTCCACTTCCATAAACACCCTCTTGACAATGTTTGCTCTTTCAACGTTTTCCAATGGAATTCTCAATGTTGTCTTCTATGAAATATATCTTTACAACTGACTTTTAAAAGTTCTTAACAAATGACTAACACTCTCCTGCCCCCCTCCCGACGCGCGCGTGCACACACACACACACACACACACACACACAACTTACTGGGTGGTGAAGCAAAGTGTGGTGTCTGCTCTACTTCAGGTATTTTTGTATCCTACATATACATTCCACTGTCATTTGCTATGTCTATATATTGACCTCCCATGAGATGAGTAAACTTTCTATTTTATTAAAGTATTTAAGTATTCTATAAAACTCATCTTTCTTAAAGACAGGAAAAGAAGAACAAACACTGATGTTCTCGCTGATTTGTGGTAGACAGAGTAACATGCTTAAGGAATGGAAGGTAGCAAAAGTGGGGGAAATGGGTCTGGACTAGAGAAACAAAAAAAGGCCAAGGAGAAAGAGAAACAGAGAAGCAAGAAGAGGAGGCCTGGAAGTAACCAGGGCCCTGGGTTCATCTGTGGCATGAGGCCAAACGACATGTGTGTATTTAAACCTTTTGATCCAACACTACTAGGGAACCGGAACTATAACAATTAAACTTAAAAACTAATCTGCCAAGGAGCCAAGCTGGGAGTAAGAGGGAACCCAGGGCGGTGGAGGAGAGAAGGGGGACAGGCTGGTGAGACAAGCTGGCAATGTGGCTGCCTGAAACCCAATTTTAACCACTATGTAAATCTCAGTGATTTTTTTCCACTGAAAAACATACAATAAAATAATGTTATCTTTTTAAAGTGTATTCCTCCCCTTCCATGACAGAGAGGATTCACCATTTAATCCAACCTAACTCAGGTGAGCTAAGGAGCAAGTGAGCGAGGGCGCAGCCCACCCAGTGCACAGTGCGATTCTGCCAAGTGACTTCTTGGGCCCTTATTTATCAGCAGTCTTAACCAGACATTTAATGACCCAATATTTTCACCTAATGAGTACCAAGTACCAAGACATCGGGGCTGATTCAGCAAAAGTAATGATTACAGACAGGGCCCTTATTAGCAAATGTACAAACCCTGATTTTCTATGTCTAGTTTAAAAACGACATCTTTTAGTATAGCGATAAAGGCTAAAGACTTCCCATTTAAATTTTAATTTCTCCTGTCCCTCAGAAGATTAATAACGCCTTCCTTTGCCCTTAAACCATTCCCTGCTGCTCCATGACTGCAGTGTGGGCTGGCACATGTGAGACAGTATGAGAAGAGCACATGCCAGGAAGCACTTCTGGGAAGGCAAGGCTCTCACACACAGAAAAGGGGATGCAGACACCACTAACATGCATTCCCTTCTTGGCCTCTCATTTGAAAATGTCAACCTAGAGGTAGGCTGGAGCGATAGCACAGCGGGTAGGGCATTTGCCTTGCAAGCAGCCAACATGGCCAACCCGAGTTTGATTCCTCTGCCCCTCTCGGAGAGCCCGGCAAGCTACTGAGAGTATCTCACCCACACAGCAAAGCCTGGCAAGCTACCCGTGACATATTTGATATGCCAACACAGTAACAATTGTCACAATGGAGACGTTATTGGCCCACTCCAGCAAGTCGATGAACAATGGGAGAACAGTGACAGTGCCCCTATAGGAATTTTCAGGCTGGGGGCCAGAATGATAGTTTAGAGGGTAGGGCACTTGCCTTGCACGCAGCCAACCAGGTTCAATCCCTGGCATCCCATAAGGTCTCCCTAGCCTGCCAGGAGTAATCCCCATGCACAGAACCTTGAGCACCACCGGTGTGACTCCAAAAAATAAAAATAAAGAAAAATGCAGAAGTGATGAGGACCTGGAGACATGGTACAGGGAGTTAACGGACCTGCCTTCTATGCACCCTGTTTCAGCCAAGATCCCCAGCTGAGCACTGTCCTGGAGGCCCCCAGCACCTCCAGGTTCGACTTGGAGCCCCTGACCCTGCAAGGTCCAAACTACCAATCCTCAGGCCTTGTAGAGAACTGCTGCCGCCGCAGGCTGAATGTCCTGGGAATAGGACTGGGGCTCTCCGGCACCAGCAACAGCAAAGAGAAGTAGCAGCCACAGGCAGCTAAAGCACAGATCCATAGAACTAGGAAGCTCACATAAAGCTCAGCCCTCAGGAGGATGCGAAATTCCCTTATGTTCCAAAAACAAAAGGAACACCCTAGGAGCAAGGAACCCCATTCCTGTTCTTAAAAATCTCAACAGAGGCTCATGAACCTCTTAAAAGTTTCAGAAACAAAAATGATGGCCTCTAAAGCAAAATAACTTGATGACTGCCCACGCACTGAAAATACGGCATCAGCAGAGAGGACCCCGTGGAAGGAAGGTTTCAAGAGGACCCGTGTGAAACCTACCTTCCAAGGAAAGACGCCGATGGTAGGGTGGGCCCGGGAAAAGCTGACTCATGACACAGATCTTCTAGATTTCTCTACCCCTTTCATTCTACTCCCAAGTCTTTCTACCCCCTCCCTAACCAGCCAAGTCTGGAAAAAGCAACATTATATACTGGTACCAGCGGACCACCAGTTCTAGACTGCTTATTAAATGATATTCTTTACAGCAGATTAAAGTTTGTAAACTGGAGTTTAGATCGAGATAACAAAACAGATTTAGTCATAGAAGAGACAGGGGCTGGCAGAGAAAAATATTTCTCCAAAATGGCATGAATTTGGCATTAATCAGGAGCCAAGTCTGGACCACAGAGATAAGCATCGTTTGTCAGCACATTTCCTAGTTGGCTTTTGTGAAGATAAAGCTCCATTTAAAGGACAGTTGCCTGCATACAATTCTTGGGTTGTCAAAGTGCTGAATTTGGGCCAGCTAATGAATTAAAGAGGATAATCTTACAAAAACTAACCATTACAGAGTCATTTTCTCATTATTATTTTTCAAATTCACATAAGGGATTAATATCTAAGTAACAATGCAAAGGCAAGCAAATAAGGGGGAATGAGAAAATGAAATATATGAAGTGAATTGCCTTTTGAAAAATACTAAAATTTTTATTGAAACTGCCAAGTCTATGAGTCTTTGCTTTCAGAAACTTAATAAGATTCCTATTTAATATCATGAATGAAAACCATTTTCTTAAGTAGTTAGAAAATTAAATATTGTCATTCTCTGTAACCATTTCTGACATCACTTAAAGATAGCTTTGTAATTTCTTCCCCCCGTAATTGAAATTTTACTTGAAATATATTTTATACAGTGCCTCTGTATTCTTTCTCTCCTTCAAGTTTGGGGGTTTAAAGAAACACTTCTGAAACAATTTTCATTCATTCATTTCACAAAAATATATGACAAGATTACTCTGTGCCAAACTTTGAGGATCATCATGGATAAAACCAGAATTTCATGGCTAAGGTTCATGGTCTGTTGGGAAAAGCCAATCAAATGAGCAAAACATTTACAAAAATATGTAATTGTTGGACCAGAGACACCCATGTTCCCAGGACAATTTAGGGTAGAAGAAATCACTGAACTCCCCCAGTGATGTCCAGCAGCAATGCTGAGTCACTGTGTCTACGAGATCTTGCAGGCACAGGCACATGGCAAGTGGGGAAGAGAACTTTAACCAAAAGGCCTTTGCCCCTGCATCCCCCTGACCTCACTTAACCTCCTGGAGACACTGTATTCTCACCCCCAGAACACACAGAACAAGGCTGTCTATTTTGTTCTGGAAAGGATTGCTGTGGGAATGGAAAGAGATAGTGTGGGTGAAAAACAGCATAAATTCAAGCAATTCACAGCACAGTTCATTGTTCTGACTATAAAAAAAGACTCTAGTCACAAACAAGTGGGGTGATTTGAATGCTTGCATGTAGGAAAGAACAGTTTACCATAAATTCAGAAACAGAATCATTGTATATAAAAATCCACAAAACCCAGTATCTTTATATATGGACTGTCTAGAACTTTCTGGAACTATTTTAGAACTAGCAGAACTCTTAGAGTGACTATTTTTTTCTCTTCTGTTATCTAATGCTTATATGTCCTGCCACCAGCACTCCATAGCACATCCAAAACACCTATTACCTCTTTCTTCCTTTCAAATAATTCATGTCACTGACAAAGATAATCAAAGTGGGACCTTCCCCTTATCTGCAATGATTCTCCATGTTCCTTGCACAGGTCTCCTTTGCTTTAATAGAGGCGTGTTTGGAGAGGACTCGAGTGTGGAGAAGTCCTTCAATTCTCCATCAGCTCTTTTCTGAAATAAATAAGCAATAGCCTGCAGGCATCCCCTCTGCGGGCCATCACTGCCATCATCCTCCTTGGACTGGATAGATATTCCTCAACACAAGGTGCATCACCCAAGATCTAAGTCCCAAAGGAAAGACAAGGAGAGAGGAGCTTCAGCACGTAGAGACATGGACAGCGCCTCAACCACAGACCAAGGTCAGCACAGCCATGGACATCATACGTCGAGATATATAAAATGCTGTGAGAGAATACACTAAGTGGATCCAGACAATGATCATTAATAGAAAAAATGCTGAAATACAGAAGTGGCAACAGTATTGCACCACAACAAATTTCTTAGCTTTGACAATATGATGATATTATTATGCAGAATGTTAATTAATATTAAGGTAAACTGGATAAAGATTATTTATTAGTTTCTGGCAACCCTTTAAAATCTACAATTAACTCAAAATAAAAGCTTTAGGAAATTTAAGTGGCAGTGACTTCCGGGGGTGGGGGTGAGGGATGAGGGTATTGACCCACACATGGTGGTACCCATAACTTATGACTTATACCAGCCTCTGTGCTCAGCCACCACCCCTGCCTGTGCTTGGTGGATCTTGTGTGGTGCAGGGGATAGAAACAAAGTTTGCTGTGTGCAGGACAAATGCCCATGATACTCTCTCTCCATCCCTCAGGTAACTGATCTTTGTTTTGATTTTCCAAGTTTCATGCAGATTTACTGAAATCCTGTTTCATAACTCTTCTCAGAAATCTAAACTCAAATTTATGAATTTCAAATATCTCTTCATTTCTAAGACAAAAGTAGCAAGGAAAATGCAAAATACACTTAAAAACCACTTCACAAATACAGAGAGAGAAAACAGTAAGTGAACAAATCTGTAAATAATCACAATGTATGATTTAATTCTGCACTTAATAGCCATAAAGTCAGGGCCATTTTTTCGTCACTGTTGTCAGCAGACAGGAAACAATGTTAAATCTGCAGGTGTACCTTTAAGACATATACAGGAAATGCTGGGAGCTCCTCTACTCTTTCTCCCCACACCAGGACCAGCTTTGTCATGACACCATTAGGTTCCCCCAACCAAGGATGAACCAATGGAACTCACTGACCCGAGACATTTATTGCACCATTATTCCAAGGAAGCAGGGTTGCTTAGCTAAGGTGACATGGACCCAGACACATCTTTTATTATTATTCCTCATTCAACCCCAAGCATGTGGGAATCATTCTGTTGTGCCTCTTTCCCTTTTCTTGAATACTTGGTAAAAGGTAGAAATTTCTGGGAGGACAGCAGGGACTCTAGGTGAGTCCTAAAACCAACAGATTCCTGCGCAGGAAATCAGCAGCTACTTCTGTGGTTTGGACAACATGATAACTCGGTTTCCGTTGACTACGAGTTCCCACTCATCATCTCTTATGATCTGGTTGAATCAAAACGCCATTTCACATATCTAACAAAGCACAATCTGCTTACCTTCTTAATGAATGCCACTGAAAACGTGTCCCAGGACACAATACCGTGGTCCATCAGCTCAACAAAGGCCGTCAGGGTGAAGGACAGCATATCTCCAAAGCTGGAAAACAGCAAGGGAGCAGTGAGGAGCACAGAAGGGGCATAGAGAGGGGGCAGAGAGATGCAAGGCCCACCCAGGTCCCATCCCTGGTACCACATTCGGTTCCCTGACCACCACCAGAAGTGGCCCCTGTGGGTGTGGAACACCCCCCTCTGCTTCAAAGAGACCCAAGCAAGAGAGCTCTAGAAACAGGTGGTGAGACATCACTGGGGCAAGTGGCTGAACACAGGCTAGGTCCTCAGGAACCAGAATCAACGGATACAGGGAGAGAGGCCCCAGACAGCATCGTTCATTCCGCCTCTGAGCCTCTCCCACCTGGAAAATGGGAAAACCCCATCTCTGTGATCATGAGGCTACTCGCAGAGCACTGAATAAACTGTAGCACTGAGAAAATGATGACTGGAAGGAAAATTTCTTGGCAAATGAGGAGTCAGGGAGGTGGGGGGGGGGGGCTAGAGAGGGCAACATAACATGCTTCTTTGATTCTCCATGGCACCCAATGGGAAAGATTAGAAACACATCTATTAAGTGTATTGTAAGGAATTCAGTGGCCTCAATATACTTCCGTGTGTATGTTTGGGCAAGAACATACAGATAAACTGTTACAAATATATGTTTAAGTACATATACCAATTTCTCTGCTTCACAGATCAACGTTAAGTGGACTTTATGGCTGTCTCTGGTGAAAATGACTATTGGCTGACATCAGATTTGCTGGGATTCAGGTGGAGGGGGTGGAGTTGGGCTGAGTCTTGTGCATGGTTCAGAAATGCAAGCAGAACTCAGAAAAAAAAACAAGTGAAAGTACTGTCTTTCTAAAGGCTCCACCCAGGAACCCCTAACAGCCCATCTCATTCTTCCAAACAACACTTAACTCAAAATCTTCTATAGGAACTCACCACTATTCAGAATATCATCTGAATAAATACTGTCGAAAAGTTCAGAAGACAAGGTTACCTCTTGAAGTGTGCTGAATTCAGCCTGCCACAAACAACCACAATACTAGCACAACTACACTGACTAATAGGGTGAATTTCCAGAGTTTCAATCTATATACTTATATATACAACTGTCAACCTCATGAGATGGTCAGATGAAATCTTCCCATCCACTGTCAATCAACAGACTATTAACAGTTTATTTTATCTTTTCACAATGTCACTTCCTTCTTTCCTGGTACTGTTCTCAGAGCATCAGTAAAGACCTTCGCCTCCTGAACTGTCTCTGAAGTGGTAACGCTCAAGAGAAACCTGCCACCGGTGAGTCTCTTTTCTCAGGAAAGGGCATTCATCGAAATTCCGCTTAGCTAACAATCTAATGGCAGGAATGAGGCCCACTTGATACTAAAGGCCACACGCAGTCGGAAGCTGAGGATCCTTTTCCCAGCCCTACAGCTCTAAGCAAACAAGTTACTGACATCCCATGGCCGAGACTGAGACTATGATGAAGGCAAGGGGGTAGGTGCAGTGGAAAGAGCTTTAATACCTAGTACAGAGAGAACTGTGTTGTCATGAGGTATTAGCTGCCATTTTTTAAAAGAAAAACAGGGGGTATGGTGCCGCCAGTAGGTCAATCTGTACCTGTGAGGCAAGTGCATCAGCAGCCTGATGGCGCCTTCTGACTTCCAGGTACCCCAAAACTGCTGTTGTGCCTGTGGCCAGACCCCAAAAACCTGGGGCAAAGTTTACCAAGAAAGTAAACAGCCAAAAGTTAGATATGTGGGAAACACACCCACAAACCACCTCCAGCTCAGCTATATAACTGAAGGCATGGCCTCTCTGGTTCCTTATTGAACTGCTTAATGGCCATGATCCCAGAAACTCAGAAACAAATCTCGAAACCCAGCAGCTTTTGGCAGAAATGTGTCCCGTCCCTGCAGTAGGTTACCGGTGCTCGGCCAACCCAGGTGGGAATATGTTTCATGCCTTGGCCTGTTCCCCCAGCGGCCTCGTGGCTGCCATTCTCCAGAGGCCACTGGACAGATATGTTTGGGCACGCAGTGACAAGACATTTTGGGCCTCACGGGATGGATTGGAGCTGGTCCTATCCTCCCCACCCCAACGAGACCCCAAGTCATAGCCCACAAACAGCCTCTCTGGCTCCTGATCAAGCTGCTTAACGGCCATGATCCCAGAGACTCAGAAACAAATCTCGAAACCAGGTAGCTTTTGGCAGAAATGTGTCTGGACTCCGTAGTAGGTTACTGTCACCGGGTCACCCCAGAGGGGAAAGGGTGCTGTCCCTCGGCCTGCTCCCCCTTGGTGACTTGGTGGCCGCCATCCTCCAGAGGCCATTGGACAGTCAGGCTTCAGCCCGCAGTGACAAAACTTGTTGGGTCTCACAGGATGGAGGTGGAGCCGGTCCTGTCCTCCCCGTCCCAGTGAGACCCCAAGTCATCACCCACAAACGGCTTCTGTGGCTCCTGATCAAGCTGCTTAACGGCCATGATTCCAGAGACTCAGAAACAAATCTTGAAACCCAGCGGCTTTTGGCAGAAATGCATCCGGACTATGCAGTAAGTTACTGTCGCTGGACCACACCAGGGGGGAAAAGGTGCTGTCCCTCCACCTGCTTCCCCCTGGCGGCCTGGTGGCATCATCCTCCAGAGGCCATTGGACAGTCAGGTTTGGGCCCGCAGTGACAAGACATGTTGGGCCTCATGGGATGTGGGTGGAGCCGGTCCTGTCCTCCTCACGCCAACAAGACCCCAAGTCATCGCCCACGAACGGCCTTTCTGGCTCTGGATCAAGCTGCTTAACGGCCATGATTCCAGAGACTCAGAGCAAATCTCGAAACCCAGTGGCTTTTGGCAGAAATCCCTCCAGATTTAAGTGTTAAAATTTCAGAATTTCAAAATCCCGCGACCACTACTGCAGCCACACGACATCATATGTTATTCATAACCAGCAATAGAAAACAAATTGTCTATGGTTGCCTTTTCAGCAGATCTGAGTGTTGGGGTAAAATCTCAAATAATAATGGTGATTTTCAAGTGTTAGCTTTGTTTCAAGGATTCTTTATCCTTAGGGAAAAAAAAAGAAAACTAAAATCATATAGGGGGAAAAAAGACAGAAAAAGTAGTTAATACTATTATTTAAAACACACACACACACACACACACACACACACACACACACACACACACACACACTTTCTAGCCACAGATAGGGAACCCAAATCTTGGAGGAGTCCCCTAGGTGGCATCAGAGGATCATGCCACAAAAATTTTTTAAAAAAATGGAAAAAATTCCATACAACAGGAGAAATTTTAAACATTTAAAATTTAGAAATATGGGTTAAAATGGGCCTTAAAGAGTAGTATAAGATTATATTTAAAAAGTATTATAAGATTAAATAAAAATTCTAGAATAGCTTTTTCTACCATGAGCTGCAAGGAAATCCAAACACCCAATTGCAAAAACAAATACACAAACCCATAATCATACAGTGACGAATCATTAACATCATCATCATCAACATCATCATCATCATCATCATCATCATCATCATTATCAACACCACCACCATTAGAAATGCTGGAATATCTTAAGTGCTCAGAGATTCGTACACAGAGTGAGTGGCACGAACCCGGCTCTGAGCAGGACCAAAATGACCCTGGTGGTGCCCAGAACTTGAGGACCTGAGCAAAGCACAGCCTTGGGTCCTAGCACTGCAACTCAACACTCGGCCCAGTTAGTCTAATACCAAGGAGTATGGCCCTTGGCCCCCGATCAGTGAGAGATGCCCCCCTCCCTCCAAATTCACATGTACCTAACACTTGAAGAGCAGGAAAATAACTACCCCAATGTCATTACTAAGAGCAAGGGCTGGGACAGACAGTGGCAGGGCAAAGTGCACACTGCTGGAATCACACTGTCTGTCTTCATTAGTCTCCTTAAAAACAGAGAAGTTCCACTTCTGCTCAATCTCTGAGCTCTCCTCTTGGTGGGTCCAGAGTTAACATCTGGACAAAGCCCTTCTTCCTTTAACACTCCAGTACTCTGCAGACCAATTCCTCAGAGAAGCAGCAAGGCACCAGGGAGAAAGATTCCCTTGAAATTTAAAGAGCATCATTTCAATTCCAAACATGGAAGCTGCTTTGGGGGCCAGGATTTCAATTTCCATGGTTGTTAAGACGCTGGAACAAGATTTCTGAACCTGCCGATAGAACATTCTGTTCTTTGCAAGTATCTACTCAGAGTGAGACTGAAAAGTGAGGAGCAGCTTCTTCATAGCATACAAGACACACAAGGAAATTCTGCTATTTGCTTGAATCACATTCATAAAATACTGCATATAAATCAATAAATCCATTAGAATTACTATTAGACAAATATAATAAATATCACATGTGCATTACATAATCATGGATAGTATAATTATATATGTGATGCTATTAGTCCTTAAGTCTAAGCATGTTGTAAATATATTATAGAACATAAACAATATATGAAATAAACATACCATGATATTATAGCTAGATGTCTAACTTATACAATTCATTAGAACTGGATGCTAGATGGCATAGCAGGTTACCATGGGGCAAAATTTATCAAAATTCAATTTCAGACCCTCAGTTGCAAGGAAAGATTGGCCACTGCTAACATTTATTACATTCCAAGTCAAGGATTCCATCACCTCATTTCAAATGAGGGAGCAACAAAAGGCCTTATCAAACCTGAAGATAGGTGTTGATTTCCTCACAGAGGAATGATTCAAGCTCCTGAGAAAGGGGCAGCCACACATTGAAATCAAAGCTGAGTGCAAAGCATCAATACAGAAAGGACTGCAATTATGAAAACACAGCAGGAGCAATTTTATTTGTTTGATTTATATGGTTTTTTTTCTTTTTAATACATAAAATGCTAAGCTGTAGATTTTTCTGTACATACTGACACAAATTAAGCTGACTGTAAACTTAACATGTTGGTGTGACAGTCAACATACCTTGTGTGCTGGAATGACTCAAATAAATGCTGCTCATCCACTTAGTCAAACAT